GAAATTTTTATACAAGATGAATTTAGCAATTCCTGAAAAGTGAAAAATAAAAATTTATATAGTTTTTTTTTTTTTTTGAGACTGAGTTTTACTCTTGTTGCCCAGGCTAGAGCACAATGGCAGGCTCTCGACTCACCGCAACCTCTGCCTTCCGGATTCAAGAAATTCTCCTACCTCAGCCTCCTGAGCAGCTCCTGTGCAGCAGATTACGGGCATGCGCCACCACACCTGGTTGATTTTTTGTATTTGTAATAGAGATGGGGTTTCTCCATGTTTGTCAGGCTGATCTCGAACTCCTGACCTCAAGTGATTCTCCTGCCTCAGCCTCCCAAAGTGCTAGGATTACAGGCTTGAGCCACTGCACCCAGCAATTTACAAAGTTTTTACATTTATAGGGTCTAGGTCAGTGGCAAAACAAGGGAGTTAATTTGGAGGAGGGCTTTATCAAATGCCCCCATAAATATCATTAGCCTTCCATGATAACTACTCAAAATAGAATGCAAGCTAAGTAAAACACTGTGTATGCTATTCAAATTCAACTTCAAAACAAGTCCCAGACCGCTCCTTCTGAGAGACAGCTATGCCAAAGCTTCTACCTTGACACTCTAGAGACACCACTGGTCCTAATATCTCTGTTCTTATATCTTCATGATAGCCGTCATTCTGCCTTTCAAAATTTTGTGCCATAGTTTGGATATAAGAGGGTGGGGTGGGGAACCTACACACAAAAAATGAAACATAAACCATTTGCACAAAGTATTCACTTGCACAAAAGTGCTAGAGTAGTGGCCTGCACTGTGTGATCTTGGTTGAGTTACATAATTGTTCTAGGACTCAATGTCTCCACCTGTAGAATGAGGTATTTGAAAGGGCTGATCTCAAACTCTTTTGCAATATTCAGAGCCTCAGATTCCTGGCTTCATCAAACATCTGAATCTGGATGGCTTATCGACAGCTACTACTTATCCTGTGTGCCGGGGTTCCTTTTTCCTATCTTTAACCATTTTTCTGGAAGAGGTGAGAAACCCCTACAGAGCAGGACAAATGTGGAGAATGCAACTGAGATGCTCCTGGTGCCAGGAGAGTCCCTGCTCTGCCCCAACCTGACCCCTCCACCACCAAATCAATAAGCCTCCTGGAATGGAGACAGCCTGCAGAGTCTCACCTCCTGCGGTGGTGATTACAGAAGCTGAGTGAGTGATTATAAGGAGAAAACCACTCAGGCTTATCTCAAGCTTCACTTTCTTCCCTTACTCATGTTCACAGTAGAAAGGGAAGTGTTTCCGAAGCAAAGTTCTTGGCTCTGCTTTTTGCTCACAGGGTCTTTTTGGGAGAAGGGGAAGGGAGTGCGAAACAAAAAGCAAACAAAGGATTTGGAACAGTCTATAGGACACAAGGACTCCCACTTGTTCTCAGAAATGCCGTTTCCTTATTAGCTGCAGTCCGGCTTCCCCCGCAGGTGCCGTGGCCGCGTTGCGCGCTTCGGCAGGGGCCTCCTGGACAGTCCCGGCTCTGGCAGAGCCCCAGGGATGCGGCGACCCGGCCAAGGTCCAGGGTCCACGATCCGCGCTGGGGAGGGGCTCCCCAGCGACTTGGCCCGAGGAAAAGAAAGCCTCGGGGTCAGCCTCCTGCCAGCTCTCATAAGTAGATCTAATTATGACCGCTTACTTCAAAAAGAGGATTTAACCCAAAGCAGATTTAGCAGGGCGGTTTCCAAAGAATAGCAGAAATCCCAGGCTTGACCTTTGAAAAATCCCAGACTTTGCTGCCCCGGGAACTCGGCAAGCAAGTCACGGTGGACGCCTCAGATAGCAGAGAAATTCAGAGACGCCAACTTAGGTTATCGGGTCCTACTGGGGATGTTTAATTTAGAATAAAGTATCAGAGAGTGCCCACGGTATGTATGCACTGGTGGTCAGTCAGAATGTTGAGCTGAGATAAAATGTTGACAGAAAAAGAAAATATTTAAGCACTAAAGTATAACTGATTCCATAAAAATTATTTTAAAACATAAAGTGGTATGAAAATTAAGTAAGAGTCAAGGTCTCTTAGCGAATTCTTACCTAAAACGTGAAAATTTAGTAATGCAGCCCAGTGGTGCTGATGAAAGTATCAAAAGCATGTTAGGGTAATTTTTTTAAAGTTTTTTTTTTTTAACTTTTAAAACTTTCTATATAGCATTTTGCTCAGGAGAGGCTGTTGTAATTGTTTTAATAAAATTAAACGACTTCTACAAGAGAGAGGGGATTGAAATTGTTCATCTAGAGTTGACCAACATGAAGGTAGTAAATCGACACATCCTGCATAGGCTTAGTGGATAACAAATATAAAAGCATTCTGTGAACTATCATGCCCTCTAACATGTTATTTTCAATTACTCTTACAGAACCAAAAATTAGGAAAACAAAAACAAAGAAAAATAAACATCCTGAATAAGTACGGTCACTCTGTCCACATACTTTTATTAAACCAATGACTCTGTAAGAGAACTTACGCTACCTCAGGCATTTAGCTTAGGTGGGAAACTGAAGAAAAGACAAATATCTGCTTCTAAATCAAATAATTTACAAGGTAATGAAAAATAATTCACACAGGTGCTCTTAGAATTACTTGATTTTCAATATTCTAAAATGTCAATACAAGTTGCTACTTTTTTACCTGATCACATTCCAGCACAGGACACCTAACCAGGTGATTGTTGTAGATAGAGTCATGCGCCACATAACAACATTTCTGTCAACAAGGGATTGCATATATGACAGCAGTGTGCCTGGGCATCACAAGTTCACCTTCAGAGTTGTTGGTTCAATTAAAGTGTGTAGATGGAGTGAACATACTTATTCCAGATGTTTGTTTTTTTTGTTGTTTTTTTTTTGTTTGTTTTCTTAATTTTTGTGTTCTGTGAGAGTAACTGAAATAATAACACATGATAGAGAGTGTGATAGTTCACAGAGTACTTTTTTTCTTTTTAAGACTGAGTTTTGCTCTTGTTGCGCAGGCTAGAGTGCAATGGCTTCAGCACACAGTAACCTCTTCCTCCCGGTTCAATCCATTCTCCTGCTTCAGGCTGAGTAGCTGGGATTACAGTTGTGCACCACCATGCCCTGTTAATTTTTGTATTTTTAGTAGAAACAGGTTTCTCCACATTGGCCAGGCTGGTCTTGAACACCCCACCTCAGGTGATCCACCCACTTTGGCCTCCCAAAGTGCTGGGATTACAGGCATGAGCCACCACATCTGGGCACCACAGAGTACTTTTATGTTCATTACCATTAATATTCATTATACACTTAATATTTTATTTCATTTTCATAGGACTCTAAATAATGTGTTGACATGGGTCTAGTGCTTTATTACCTTAAAAGGTGAACAGTGAGTCTGGTATTCACTGCCATTTCCCCCCCCAATATCCCATAAGATTATAATACCATATTTTTACTGTACCTTTGATATGTTTAGATACACAAATACTTATGATTCTGTTATAGCTGCCTGCAGAATTCAGTAGAGTAACATGCTGTACAGGTTTGTAGTCTAAGAGTAACAGGCTGTGCTATATAGCCTAGGTGTGCAGTTGGCTATACCATCTAGGTTTGTGTAAGAGTACTCTATGATGTTCACACAATGATGCAATCACCTAAAGATGGATTTCTCAGTATGTATCCCCTTCATTAAGTGACAAATGACTGTATATGTAATTTATACTGTCCTTAAAATCTTGTTTACAGTATCTGTAGCTTGAGGTTGGAAAAGTTCTTGGAGATTGAGGAGGTGGGATTTATTCTCACTGGTTACTCCAGGATGTCAAATCAGTTAGTCTACGTGTTCAAACATGATGCTAGTTAACCTTAGCTTAACAGGAACTTAAAACAAATATTAGAAACCATAAGTCTGGGATATAGTATATAACAATTTAGCCATTGTTCACTTTTCCATTTCTCCTTCCCCAAGGGATGTACTGAATCCAATAATAAATAAACATTACCAATAATTTTTTTATAAAATGTGTAACCCAAACCTATTCTATTTTATGCTTTTATTTACTAATTGTGATAGCTTCTTCTCATATATACACTAATCTGGGAAACGTAGATCTCTAATAAAGCTGGGCTAGGTAAAGCTCTTCCCTAGTGGATCTCAATTTGCAAGCCCTAAACACAAAAGCAGACATACTTGGTTACTCAAAGCATGGGCATTCAATGTCATTGGTTTCAAAGTCTGTGGAATTCACAGACATAACCATTTGTCCTAGGAAGAAGAAGGGAGATAATAAGTTAAAAGGTACTGGAAAAATGACAGATGGTATAGAAGAGTGTACTACAAAACTTTTCAGTTTGGGGTCTCTGCTTCAGCTGTGGCAATCCCTGATCCTAGAAGACTAAATAAATACCTACAAGAATAAACATCAAGGCTCAATACACTCAAGTTTTCTATTGTTGTGGCTGTTTTATTTAACCTCAAGTTTTAAGAGTTATGCAGTCCCTAGGAAGTTAAGGAGGTAGTTCTGGTCATTAAGTTATTTATACACAGCCAAATACGAATATTTTCTATTCTGGTATTAAAAATGAATAGGATTCATTTATAATGGTTAAGTTTAAGAATTTGCCATCCTGAAAAAGCAGATTTCCACCCCAAGGATAAAACTAGATTATTTCAAATAGAAAGCAATCTGTAGACAGACTTCTCAAATGTAGGTGTTTCACTGATCAAGTTTAAATATAAAGTCTTTTGAGTTTCTTTCCAGCTTTATGGTTTCATGGCTTTTAACATCCTTGTGGGAATGTGACACCCTACCTACATGCAACCCCCAAACATTCATGTAATAATCTCAGGTAAAATTCAGTATCATTTTCTGTGGTTACCACCCATTCAGAAACTGGCATTAGACCCTGGGCACCTGTCCACAGTGCCCCTGGATGAAAGACTGATCCCTGAAGAGAGGGTCAGACATGAAAGGGCTATGGGCATCCAGATGTGACCGGTGGTTGCGTGCACATTACCTCTCCCGCTCCTGCTCCAGCAGGTTGGTGAAGTCGTCACTCTTGTTCATGTAGTCAGTGTGTTTATGCTTCTCGTTCTCTAACTCGTACACTGTGCGCCTGTGACACTTCTCGGCCAGCAACAGCTGCTCTAGCATGCGCCGGTAGGTTTCTTTCTGTTTTTCCTCAAGTCTGTCCAGCTGAATAAGCAAACATGGGAAAGAGCTTAATATTTTATTGCATTTGCATAGGACTCTAAATAATTTGTCAACATGGATCTAGTGATGTATTACCTGAAAGGGAGAACAGAGTCTGGTATTCACCACCACTTGCCCTCATTGTATCAGTTTCTTTATGCCAATTGGCTATATAAAACAACCATAACAATGCTGCAGTAACTTCTGGCTTTCTGGCTTTTTCATAAACATATGTATGGTTCCTAAACTTTTGTCCTTTCTCGGAGAGTGGGATACACCACAATTTTATCCATTCTGCTGTTGATGACCATTTAGGTAGTTTCCAGCTTGGATCTATTACAAATAATGCTGTTCTGAAAACTCTCATACATATTATTTAGTGAACACATAAGCATATGTGTCGGGTGTATACCTATGAGTGAAATATGGGTCATAGAATATGTGTATATGTAGCTTTATTAGATATTGCCAAGCAACTTTCCAAAGAGGCTGTACCCATTTACACTCCCACAACTAATGTTTGGGAGTTTTGATTGTTCTACATCTTTGTAAACATTTAATATTTTAAAAATTTGTAGCCATTTTGGTGGGTGTGTAGTGTTCTCTTATTGTGATTTTAATGCTCTCTTATCTGGTAAAATTAAAACTCTTTTTTATTTGTTTATTGGTCAACTGGGTTCCTAAACTTGCAGGAGAACAGCTCTTTCACAGTTTTAATGAGATAGCACAAAGCTCCATACTCAGAAAGAGGATAGCATCCTTCCTAATAGAAAAATTAAGATCTCAGCATGTACATGCATCAGACTTCTCCCCTGGAAAGTAATTTTCATCACAATCTGTTTTTAAAGCTTGCAGCTATGTGCATTTCTAGGAAAAGTATATGTAGGATCCAAATTTTTCTTTTTTTTTCAAGGGATGCTAAATATAGAGAGGATTTCAGAACTTGTAGACAGTACATATCTCTTTTAAAAGAGTTCTTACCAAATATTATTACAAGGGCCTAGCGCAGTGGCTTGTGCCTGTAATCCCAGCACTTTGGGAGGCTGAGGCGGGTAGATTACTTGAAGTTAGGAGTTCGAGACCAGCCTGACCAACATGGTGAAACTCTTTCTCTACTAAAAATACAAAAATTAGCCAGGTGTGGTGATGGACTTCTGTAATCCCAGCTACTTGGGAGGTTGAGGCTGAAAAATCGCTTGAACCCGGGAGGTGGAGCTTGCAGTAAGCCGAGATTTCGCCACTCTACTCCAGCCTTGGTAAGAAAGTGAGACTCCATCTCAAAAACCAAAAATAACAATCATATATGAAGAAAACCCACAAATATTGTTACTGGGATTTTGTGCCTCCTTCTCTGGTCAGGTTACAAGATTTTTTTTTTTTTTTGAGATGGAATCTCATTCTGTTGCCCAGGTTAGAGTGCAGTGGCACGACCTCAGTTCGCTGCAATCTCCACCTCCAGGGTTCAAGTGATTCTCTTGCCACAGCCTCCTGAGTAGCTGGAATTACAGGTGCACGTCACCATGCCTGGCTAATTTTTATATTTTTAGTAGAGACAGGTTTTCATCACATTGGTCAGTCTGGTCTCAAACTCCTGACCTCAGGTGATCCGCCCGCCTTGGCCTCCCAAAGTGCTGGGATTACAGGCGTGAGCCACTGCACTCGGCCTGGCCAGGTTATGTGATTTTAAAGAGATCGTTCCTTGATCACCTTTTTAGTCCCTGGTGCTAAGCACAGGCCCTGGAACAAAGTTGGTGCTCAGTAAGTATTTGTTAAATTGGACCAAATCTTACATTATTGATATTTCCCTATTCAACTCACTATCCTAGTCTCCCCTTTGAATTCTAGTTCAGGTTTCTGCAACTTTGGCACTGCTAAGGCCAGATAAATCTTTATTTCGGGGTGCTGTGAACTTAAGGATGTTTAGCAGCATCCCTGGCCTCTGACCACTAGATGCCAGTAAGCACCATCTCCTGTGTGATAATGAAACTATCCTGACATTGCCAAATGTTCCCTGGAAGGAAAAATCCACCACCACCTCAACTGAGAAGCATTGGTCTAGTTGAAACATATATTTAAAATCAGTTCTCAATCTCACAGCCAACTTCCTAAAGCCCTACAGGGTGGCTCCCTAGGGTCTCAGCAACAGAGCTATTCCTCTTTAGCCTTCTGTTTGCCCTTCAGTTACAAGGAGGACTTGAAGTTCTCTAAATGATTACATGATACGTTCATTGTGAGTGAATCATTTCTGGGACCCAAAATAAAAGAGAGACTGTTCACATTATCTTCTTCCCAGAACTCCACTTCCTTTCTTTAGGAGCAGATGATCAGATAGAGACTGTTGGAGAAGCCCATGTTAATTGGTGGCTGATAATATCCAAGATCATCAGGAATTGCTAATTGTATTTTTACATGTTCTAATAAATTTTTTTAGTTTTTTTGTTTGTTTTTGAGACGGAGTTTTGCTCTTGTTGTTCAGGCTGGAGTGCAATGACAGTCTCAGCTCACTACAACCTCCACCTCCCGGGTTCAAGCAATTCTCCTGGCTCAGCCTCCCGAGTAGCTGGGATTACAGGTGTTTGCCACCACACCAGATAGTCTTTGTATTTTTAGTAGAGATGGGGTTTCACCATGTTGGCCAGGCTTGTCTTGAACTCTTCACCTCAAGTCATACGCCCACCTCAGCTTCCCAAAGTGCTGGGATTACAGGCATAAGCCACTGCACTTGGTCAGTTTTTGCAGTCTTAAAGGGACAGTCTATATGCGAGGTTTTCCCATTTTAATAGCTCCATTCCCTATTACAAAATATCCTCCCCAAGAACCTTCCAAGTTTCCTCAAATGTGATTTTCAACATATTTTGAGAACGTGTCAAGCACTGCTGAAACATCATCATCATAAAAAATGTAGAAAAAACTTTTCCCGCTTTTTGAGCCTTTCTGCTTTATCATAAAATAGGACTCTCCATCCTTTGAAAAGTATTTGAAGATCAATCAGTATTTTCCCTGTTTCTTCAGGCCCTACCCAACTCCTTCCAAAGGAAGGAGGGGTGACTTATTTGAAAGTCTGTTTGGAATAGGAAACTGGATGTGTGCAGCCCAGACCTTTCATTTCTTATTTTTTACTCCACCTGTCATACAATGATACAGTGTGATCTCAAGGCTCAAAATCTTCTGCAGGATCTCTCAATCCATGTAAAGAATTTTGGAGAGGAAGGTGGTAACATTATCAATTGGAAAGGTGACTGAGAAATGTAAAGAGATAGTCATTACATGGACACATGGAGAAAAAAAGAGCATATGGAAATATCAAGTGTTCTGGGGCTGCCTAGTCAGAGGGTAGACCTTAGCCTTGTTACATCTGTCCATGTGGATTTTTGAGACCAGCTGTGCAATAGCTACAGTTCTGGACTAAACCACTGGAGTAGGTGACTGAAGTCTTTGTGGGTAATGTTCGCTTCACCAACACTAGCACAGCTTGACCACAACAGTAATTACATTATCAGGAAAGCAATCTGTTCATCTTTTAATGCGTAAGTTACTGAGGCATTGATGTATATTGTGAGTTTCTTAGGCAGAGCTGCTGATCCAGACTTTAGACTGCAGAGGCTGTAAATTCTTCTGCTATAAAGCATTAGTGTATGAGATTTTTGCTGTTAATTTTAAGTTTTGGATGCAAGAGTAACATAGGTAGGAAGAGATCAGCTGTACCAGATGCTCTTTCTTGTTGTTTTGTTTGCAACTACATCAAGCTCCTAAGAGGGAACAGAGGTAGCCTATTTTCTTGGCTCTCTGTGGCTTGTCCAGAGACTCTGAAGACTACATCCCATAACTGTAGAGTCTGCAGATTCATTAATCATAGATACTATAGGTACACGTCTCTTGGTTTTCAGGATCCAAGCTATGGTTCAGTGTAGAGGAATGGCTTTTATTAAATGACTAGTGAAAGTAGAATGGGCACCTATTACTTTGGAAATATAGATTCTGCTTGGACAAGGTGGAAGGAAAATTGAATGAGATAATCATAACACCAAACGCCAAAAATTTACTGAGGAAAGAATGTACCTGGAAATCTTATTCAAATGAATAAAGTTAGTGGAGCAGTACAATAACTTGAAAAATTTCAGTATGTTTTAGATAAAAAAGGCATGATTCAAAAAGTGTTTTTAGCTCCGTTACCTGCAAAGGGCTAACTGGAGAAGTATTAAGAAATTCAGTAACAGAGATCTACTTAAAAGTAAATATGAGTTCTTAAAGACCAAACTAGATTTACACAAAGGGGAAATGTGTCTAAGTACTCTTAAAAATAGGGATTAAAAATGGAAGGTATTTCACACATTGTTGAATCAGAATGCATGCCCAGAGAACATAGAGACAGGAAAGCCCAGAGGGCAGAGCAGTGTTGACTTTCCTCACAAAGAAGGTATTGGGATCCAGGAAGGGATTGAGGAGCACACCGTAAATGAGCATAGTCTTTCATGAGCTCACCTGGGGGCCCTTCCCTTAAAGACTACAAGATCCATTCAAAATGGTTATATAAAATATGAACAGATTTAAGAATAGAAACCTGGAAAGGTCAGGGTAAGATATCTGAAGCATTATTTGGTGAGTTTCAGTGTCTCAGCTGTTATAGATGGATTGCCAATATTTATTTATTTATTTATGAGAAAGAGGATTGCTCTGTCACCCAAGCTGGAGTGCAGTAGTACAGTCTCGGCTCACACTGCAATCTCCGAGGCCTCCTAAGTTCAACCGATTCTCATGCCTCAGCCTCCCGAGTACCTGGGATTGCAGGCACCTGCCACCATGCCCAGCTAATTTTTGTATTTTAGTAGAGATAGGGTTTCACTATGTTGGTCAGTCCGGTCCGGAACTCCTGACCTCAAGTGATCTGCCCCCCTTGGCCTCCCAAAGTGCTGGGATTACAGGCGTGAGCCACTATGCCTGGCAGAATTGCCAATATTACTGGGGCCCTGAGTGAACTTACTCAAGAAACATTGGGATGTGGTGTTTGAAGGAAATATTAGACAAAGAAAAGGGGATTTAGGCAGGAAAACATCAGGTAAGTCCAAACATGGATGTGGTGTAATGGAGAATGACCCTTTAATGAAGATTATCCAACTCAAGAACAGAAAAATAGGTAAGATTTATGTTAAAGAATACTCTTGGCAGACTCAGAATTCCTTGATTCTCTCATTGAGGGAACCCACATAATGTAGAATATGAAAGGGAATATTAGAAAAACAAATATCTGGGACCACTTGAAGAAAATGACTAAAATCCTGAAGCAACAACTCAGCTGAGGCTTCCTACACATAAAAAGTTGTGGCAGAAGAAAATATTTTTGTTGCTTTGAGTCAGACAAGTTACTCAAGGATTGAAAGTTCAAACATGAGGGGAGGCTAAGTTCTGAGGAAGAGTAAGGTCTGATCCCTTCTGGGCCCCAAATTACAAAGGATTCAGAAGGGTCACCCTCTGAAGAGAGGCTTCCTAGGCCTGGGAACAGGGGCTGAAGAAAGAAAAATATCAAAGAGGTCTTAAATACTCAGGTTGGAAAATTGAATACCTAAAATGAGACCTAGGCACTGAAGAGGTCACCACTGCAAATCCCTTGACTTTGCAAAAAGACAGGAATGTTTTGAATGCCACTCACTGAGGGCAAAGACAATACACGCAGACAGGCTCCACCCAACCTCAGGCTTGCCATTTCCCGTAATTATTAAGCTGCTGATGACAACAGGCTCTGGTAACAACAGACTTACCAGAATCCTACTGCAGCTGAAGATTTTCTCTATCTGCCTTCCTTCCCTCAGACATGCCCTAAATCTCTGCTTCAGTCTCTGGTAGGAGTAACATGGGCCTTCTTTATACCGAGTCCTAAGGTCAAGGAATATCATTTTGCTTGAGAAAAATGTATCTTAGTGCTAGAGACTCTGTTGTATTTTTTAAATTTATAAGTGTGAAGTTGTACTCTGATAATTAGATGTATCCTAATAATTATTTAGATTGTTCAGAAAAAAGTTGAATCTAGGAATTTCAGGATGTATTAATACAACTTTGAAAATGCCAGTGAGTCCAGGTTCTTTTACTAAAGGGGAAAACAAAAACAAACTCTACCTAGACAATCAGTTGAGATCCCACTGGCTAAGGCAAAGCAGAATATAAAATTAGGAAGGAAAGAAATCAAAACCTTAAATGTTTTTGGAATTTTGCATAAGAATTATGAATTTTGATACTCCAGACTTTCATTTACAAAGAAGGGCAGAGATATTCAATATTTGCTGTTTAATTTCTCCCCAGATATTTGGCAAGGGAAAAAGATCCACTGTATTGGGTTCATTGCTTAACCTCTGGTGAGTTCTAATGGATACCCTTGCTGGTCCTAATACAGTATGGAAATAAGAATGAGCAATGATTTGGAGATTAAGCATAACATGGCTTCTAGGAAACGAGAGCTAGACTACCTGCTTGTGATCCCAGGAGGCTAATGGAACAGGGATGTATTGTGGTTCCCGCCTCATGAATTTGAAAGCAGGATTCTGATCCTGGGTAACAAGAACTTTACTGTTAATTTCAAAGGGTTAACAGACCCCAAATCTGTAAGTGGTGGAAGAAAATCTTTTCTCCATCATTCTATTTCTCTATCAAAATGGACTTCATTGTGGCAGTAGTAGAAAAAGTATTTTCTGCCCTCTCTCGCTGCCTTCTCACTCGCTTCTCCCCAAAGGCGAAATGACTCTTCAGATTGTTAGGAGAAAGGAACGATGAAATACGCCCAGCTTAGCCAGTTCCAGAAAGACAACTCACAGGGTGAGTGTTTTCTGTTCTGATCCTCTGTCCCTGAGTTAGGAATATTTGGATCAGGCCTACTTTCTAAAGGTAGGTCAGAAACTCCTCTCTCTCTGTTCAGCTTATAGAACTTGGTGGTTTGGAGGCAGTGATACTGGTAAGTGTGTAGGCTCTGCAGCCCCACCTCTCCCTTGGTGGTGAGGGTGAGGAATGTCATCCCAAGCTCTAGACTTGCAAGAAAAGAATTCAGAAGCCCAAAGGAGACCATTTATCCAAGCTGAGTTCTCTAATCCAAGCTGTTATTATTATTATTAATATCATATAAAACAAATACATGTTTTTGACCTCCATGTCTTTTACTCCTCAAATCTTCCCAAGTTTCAAACCAATTAAGGGTGTGAGCAGTAATCATCCTTGAATCCCAGCAAATACTAATGACTAATACTTGTTGAGTACCTAGAATGTGCCAGAGACTATGTTAAGAGTTGTATAGGCATTGCTTCATTAAATCCTCACAGCAGTTCTATGAGGTGGACACTGTGGTTCCTCACATCCCACAGATAAGGAAACTGAGGCATAAAGAGCTTGTATAATCTGTATGTAGTCATACACAGCTAGCAGTTGTAGGTGTCAGATGTGAAAGTAGATCCAGCCTGTTGACTGCATCCTATCATATAATCATGTCTTAACACTTTAGGAAAAGGTGAGAATAGAGCTCCAGTTTATTCTTGCTGCAGAAATTAGAAAATTATGGGACCAACAATCTGTTGTGAATGCTGTCTAAAGCAGATCTTATCTCTGAGAGGTGTCAAACTGAGTTTTTCCAAAGGCTTGACATAAATTACATGTTAAATGTATAAAAAGTTGCTTCAGATTTTTAATTTCTGTTTTTTTTTTCATTCATAATACTAATTTCACATCTGTAAATTTTTTTATATGAAGTCTGAAGGGTCAGTGGGGAAAACTGGTATCCTAATCTGGCTCAAGCTTCTACTACAATGTGGGAGTATTTTTAAAATGTGGTATCCTGAGTAATTGATAATAATAGTCATAGCTCTATCAGAATTCCTTTCATCTTAAAGAATGCCCTAAGCATTTCATTAGGATTTTGCCTCTATTACTGTATTTTAGCCACTCACATAAGACCATTTTAATTATGACAGAGTTCGTGAAATTCCAAAAAGGTGTCTTTATAACCATATCAGTGATAAGATCAATTTAATTTTAGGTTACCAGTTTGGTAAGAATCCTGACAGCTCAGTGTTAAAACTGGTAAGTACTTCAAATTTTTACACATATCATTTCTTAGAGAAGTAAAATAATAATATACTGCAAGAGCATTTAACTATCAGAACCACATGGAAAAATATAATTCAGGCTTTGGAATGTTTAAGGAAAAGCCTCTACAATTCTTAACACTGAAGCTTATCCACTATAACCCTTGACTTACTTAATTACACTTTAATTCTATATTAGTGTATCATCAAAATTTTGCCTTTAAAAGGAAATGTTAAAGCATGTAAATGGAAGAATGTGAAGATATCTCCCTGAGGTTCACTTCCAGGGGACTTGTTGGTGTCATATTTTTACCTCTGAAATCGGTTTCTCATAGACATCTTCTCCTATGGATTTCTCCTGGGCAAGAATGGCATCTCGGTGCAGGACCCGCAGCACCTTCTCTGGCTCCGCAGACCCGTAATGAGCCTCCAGAACCTCAGGCTTGGTTTTCTCAGTCTTCAGCATGTGGATCACGTCTTCTCTGGCCTGTAATAGAAAGTCCAGCAGGATCAGACAATTGACAATGTAAATCATATACTGGGCTCAAAAAATCAACAGAGAGCTTATTGAATACATTCCCATCTTGTCAGGGCTATTGGCAAATTCACTGGGTATTCTGCTCTAATTTTTTTTTTAACCAAAAGCAGATTGGCAAGCAGATACTCTGCTTCAGGTTGCTAGGAAGCAAGCAAGCAGAAAAAAGGGTTTGTGCTAATATTAACTACATAAAAATTGCTTTATCTAAGTAGCAATAATTTGGGACAGGGTGGGGGAGGGAGGCAAGCAGGGCTGGTCCTGGGACACTTAACCTGTTTCAGTGCACATGAGGTCAATGACAGTCTAAAATCTCTTAGTTTTCTATTGATGCTCTCAATGTAGTGTTTAAATCTGGTTTAAAATGAAACCCTGCTGCCTCCATTCTACTTATAACTTCAAGTGTAATTAACAAATAGCCTTTATTGGTGATTTCCTGTTTCTCATTAGGTGATTCATTTTGTACAGAAACATATGGTTAAGAACTCACATGATGCTTGGCTGTCCTTTTCAAATCTAATGTATCTAATGTATTACAATAAAGATGAAATTTCACCTTTCTAACACCAGATTGTCAGTCAGATGAGTCAGGTTGGTAGGTCGGAGTTTCTGTTTGTTTGTTTGTTTGTTTCTTAGCACAATGTATTGCTGAAGCTTTCAAGAAAACCACAATTGTAGGCTTTATATCATATTGTCTTTGGTTCCCATCACAAATGCAAATGCATCTGCATATGGTTTTTTTCATAATTGAAATATTACAATTATGTTTATTATAATTTTAGTGGATATACTTAGAGACACATTTATTTTTAAATGAGTATTTTACACACAGGAGCATGCCTTTCAGATAATTGTGAATATCACTGATGCCATCAAGTATGTACTAAATGACAAATAAGCCTCATTATTTACCATTCAACATGTATGAAGGCCATTTCTGTATTTGAAGAAGTTTTCAAGAATGTCCTTCTTGAAAACTGGGTTCATATGGCAAAATCTCATCCTACAGCTTTCAAAAAGAATTAAATTTGCAATAGTTTTGTTTCTAAAAATTTGGGTTAAAACAAATTATGTAAGACTTGCCTGCTTTTCTCCTTTGCCCTTTCCTACAAGAATCTACCTGATACTAAATGATGAGGAGAGAAGCCTCCTGGAATGACTGATGGATTAAAAAAAAAAATTAAAAAAAGATTTTAAAAAATTTTTAAAAAGATTAAAAAACTTAAAAAGATTTTAAAAAATCAAAAAAAGATTAAAAAATCTACCTGATATTAGTCTGCAGTGCATTCTTTTACCTTTAAATAAGTTTTTAAAAACTATCCCATAAATATGCATATTCAAATAATTAGTGTACGGTATTTTTAAATTTCAACCATATCAAGTTTCAATGGTGTCAAGAACTCTGCCACTTGTCCTTTGAACTTTTTCTTTCCAATGGATGACAACTGCTGGATAAACGGCTACGTTGCCTGACTGCAGCCTAAAGTATTAATTCCTTCAATTCCAAAGACCAGTTCTTTATAACATCTTTTATTCTTGCTAGTTTCCTATTGGAAATTAATATAAGATTTAGCTTTCTCTCTCACCACATTTTGGTGAGCATCTACTAATGAAAAAGATCTGGTCCCTATTCTCAAGAAGCCAGAATATTAAACATGTATGTTTATGTTTTTAATTATAAGGACAGACCTCAGGATGTAGACAGCATGAATATACTCACCACATACTGCATTTTTAAGAGCCAAAATACGAAGTCGCTACATAATGCCTTCCTGAAAGTCAAAGTAGCAACTATTTATTACATGCTTTTCTTTATTCACTTATACTTTCTTTTCTTTAGGACCTTTCTTTTTTTTATTTTTCCTTTTTTAAAATAATACTTTAAGTTCTGGGGTACATGTGCAGAACATGCATGTTTGTTACATAGGTATACACGTGCCATGGTGGTTTGCTGCACCCATTGACCCAACATCTACATCAGGTATTCCTCCTAATGCTATCCCTTCCCTATCTCCCCACTTTCTGACAGGCCTCAGTGTGTGATGTTCCCCTCCCTGTGTCCATGTGTTCTCATTGTTCAACTCTCACTTATGAGTGAGACCATCTGGTGTTTGGTTTTCTGTTCTTGTGTTGGTTTGCTCAGAATGATGGTTTCCAACTTCATCCATGTCCCTGAAAAGGACATGAACTCATTCTTTTTTATGGCTGCAGAGTAGTCCATGGTATATATGTGCCACATTTTCTTTATCCAGTCTATCATTGCTGGGCATTTGGGTTTGTTTTCAAGTCTTTGTTATTGTGAACAGTGCCACAATAAAAATACTTGTACATGTGTCTTTATAGTAGAATGATTTATAATCCTTTGGGTATATATCCAGTAATGGGATTGCTGGGTCAAATGGTATTTCTAGTTCTAGATACTTGAGGAATCACCACATTGTCCACAATGGTTGAATTAATTTACATTCCCACCAACAATGTAAAGGCATTCCTATTTCTCCACATCCTTTCCAGCATCTGCTGTTTCCTGACATTTTAATGATCACCACTCTAACTGGCGTGAGATGGTATCTCATTGCGGTTTTAATTCGCATTTCTCTAATGACCAGTGATGATGAGCTTTTTTTCACATTTGTTGGCTGCATAAATGTCTTCTTTTGAGAAGTGTCTATTCATATTCTTTGCCCACTTTTTGATGAGGTTGTTTGTTTTTTCCTTGTATATTTGTTTAAGTTCTTCGTAGATTCTGGATATTAGCCCTTTGTCAGATGGATAGATTGCAAAAAGTTTTTCCCATTTTGTAGGTTACCTGTTCACTCTGATGATAGTTCTTTTTTTGTGTGCAGATGCTCTTTAGTTTAATTAGATCCCACTTGTCTATTTTGGCTTTTGGTGTTTTAGTCATGAAGTCTTTGTCTATGCCTATGTCCTGAATGGTATTGCCTAACACCTGCATATGTTTTGCACTGGTTAGTAGGAATGATCTTTCTAGTTATGATGGAGCTGACATTCGCTGAATGTACTTCCATATGAGGACACTTGGAGCTGTTTTTCCAGTAATGGTAATGGGTAAGAAGTGCCCTGACTTCATTCCAACTTGTATTAAAGAAAAATCTGGTTGGGAACAAAGTTTCAGTCTGTGACAATGGAACAGAGATTTCTCCTATATTGATGCTAACTATGGGACTGAAATTATAAACCTGGTTCATCACGATTGTATTCTAAAGAAGAGAGCTAACTAGTCAACTATGAGTATTCAAGGTACGACCATTATAAAGTTTGTCTTTCCTGAGGTTTCTCACTTTCATTGCTTTTTCAGTCTCCAAATTAATCTAATTCCACATGGCTAAAGGCTAATTTATTACTGAGATGTCAATGAACCGGAATTTGCAGCTTTAAAATGTCTCTGCCACATATACATATGCTCATTTCAAGACAAAAATGGAAAATATGAATTTTGAAGAACCTGGTGGTTTAGAATGTTAGTGAGAACGTTGAAGTCAGAAAATAGTTTAATGTAAAGGCAATGTCTCCACGCAGGTTGAAAGAAAAGAAGCACAGTTGCAGGGTCAAGTTAGCCTGTACACTGTGCTCATTAGAAAAAGGTGCCCACTTTATCCAGGAGATACAGCGCTGAGTCAGAGCACAGCTTACCTAGTGAGTGAAGAGCATGCTGTATGTTAGCCCTGTTCATCCTCTCCGCCAGGTACTCTTTTACAAGGCATAACTCCCAATCTGTACTGAAGGAGCCTCAAGTTATGTAGATTGCTATTGGTCTTCAGGCAGGAAGTGTTCCTATTTTCATCTAACATAGGTGAATATATAAAGCATGTTCCAGAATAACGATTCACAGTGCTGACTGTGCTGAAGTCATTTGAGGAACTGTGAAAAGTCCCAAGGCCCAAGCCATTCCAGACCAATTACATTCTAATCTTTTGGAGAAGGACCTACACATCAATACTTTTAAAGGCTCCCAGGTGATTCCAGAGTTGAGAGTACTGTGCCACACTAATAGATTAGGAGACATAGCAACCAAACTGAATACAAATCTTTGACATCATTCAATCTAAACTTTCTTACTTTGGTGCAAGTGCATTTCCTTTTTCTGATCTTAAAAACGTGTTATCACCTTTCTCCTTTAAGTCATCCTCACACCTGAGGTCAGTTTTTTGCTTTGACCAAATCTGAAATAGACAAACTCGTCTTTAAAGAAGAAACACCATGCTGTGAATTTAGTGACTTATGTAATGACAGAAAAGGAAAATTTAGAATCACATTTAAAAGTGAAAAAATGGTGACGATAGAAGGTTGGCAAGCTGGAAGTTCTTGATAACAAATTATCGTCTCTTTCTCATCTTTAAATCAGACGAAGTAAAGGCCATTTTCTAAAGTTCATTTTTCTAACATGTGAAATGTGAAGTCTTATAGGGCAGACATAGAATGTGCTGTCCTTTGAAAATAAATAAATAAATAAATAATTTTAATATAAAAAATAAAAAAGAGAATGTACAGTTGTTTGCATTATAAATTGTGATACTGATTACAAAACTTCTGAAAGACTAAAAGAAAAAGGCTTAGAAGACAGGGTGGTAATATTAAGGGCTGGGTTTTTTTGTTTGGTTGGTTTTTCTGTGTTTTGTTCTTGTTTTTGAGTCAGTCTTGCTCTGTCGCCCAGGCTGGAGTGCGTGGCATGTTCTCAGCTCATTGCAACCTCCGCCTCCCAGGTTCAACTGATTCTTCTGCCTCAGCCTCCTGAGTAGCTGGGACTACAGGTACACAGGTCACCGTACCCAGCTAATTTTTGTATTTTTAGAAGAGACGGGATTTCGCCATGTTGGCCAGGCTGGTCTCGAACTCCTGACTTCAGGTGATCTGTCTGCCACAGCCTCCCAAAGTGCTGGGATTACAGGTGTAAGCCACTGCACCCAGCCTAAGGACTGTTTTTAACTTCT